GGGCCCAGGGAAGAGGTGCAAAGAGAAATTCTGTATTATGGCATTTGCCTGTTAACAAAGGCACTTATTAGCCCCGTGAATCTGTATTAATGGCTCCTGTGGTGACAAATTCTGGCATGTCCTTGCCTCCACTCCCTTCTCCCACAGGCATTAGAATAGTTGCTGAGGCATGCTGGACAAGCCCTGACTCATATAATACCTCCACAATAGCATCCAACATACCTGTTTGGGTCTTTTGTACTGGGAATTACAAAGATGCATTCCCTTTTGCAAAATGTTTTCTCAATCCAAGCTTTCTGACCCTGGAAGAGAAAAGAATGAAAATTAGATTCCATAAGCCATCACTAGGGCTCATGAAAAAAACCATATGGCCTGCAAGACAGGTCAGTGGGGAAAGGTGTTTGCCACCATGCCTGACGATCTGAGTTCAATCCCTGGAACCCACAAGTCAGGAGAAAACAGATTCCTGCAAGTTGTCTTGTTCTCTGCTCCACCCATGCACCATTACACATGAGTACAATCAATCAATTAATTTTTTAAAAAATTCACATGACATTACTAGGAAATTTCCTATTCTCTCTCTCTCTCTCTCTCTCTCTCTCTCTCTCTCTCTCTCTCTCTCTGTGTGTGTGTGTGTGTGTGTGTGTGTGTGTGTGTGTATTTCTTTTCTGTAATGCTGGGGACTCTAATGTCTCACTCAAGGCTGAGTTATGGCCTTGGCCTTGCCTATGATACCTGAGTGGTCATTTCAATCGAAGGGTCGCGTGTGTTTAGGGATCTGGTGTTTTGTAAGAGAGGTGGCCTGGAAACATGTGTTTGTTTCCCACTTGCTGGACTTAGTTCACTGGCATCCACTGGCTGAAGATATCCTTTGTGCAAGGCTCATGTGGGATAGCCTTCTTTATACGTGCTGCTTTTATTGGCTAATAAATAAAGCTGCTTTGGCCTATGACAGAGCAGAATACAGCCAGACTGGAAGAGATATATGGAAAGAGAGTAGACAGAGTCAAGGAGATACCATGTAGCTGCTGAAGGAGAAGGACACGCTGGAGCCATACCAGTAGGCCACAGCCTCGTGCCATACACAGACTGATAGAAATGGGTTAATCTGAGATGTAAGAGTTAGTTAATAAGGTTGAGCTAATAGACTGGGCAGTGTTGTAACTAATATAGTTTAGGTGTGATTATTCAGATCTGGACGACCAGGAATGAATGAGCTGGTTACACAAGGCTCTGTGCTGGGGACTGTGGAGACTTTCAAAGGAAAAGGAAGCAGAGGGTGCATGTCCTTTGCCCTCTAAAAATAGCAGGCGATGACTGAGAAAATACAGGGAGAAGGGGTGGGGCAGCATGGGGATCCAGGCCACAGGATTGAGAGATCTTCCTGCGGTGGCTTTTTTTATGGAGAAGGTCGAGGCCCAGATGTCTTTGTTCAAGTATATTGTCCTCAGACACCAAAGCACCCTCACATGGAGGAGGCTCAGAGCAATGAAGTGATTGGCCTTCCTCAGGAGGAGACTGGAGGTGGAGAGTCAGCAGATCCCTCTGGGAGAAGGTGTTGGGAGGGCCCTGGCAAAACCTGTCCAGGCTGACTGGAGGAGAGTTAACAGTGTATGTGCGCATGTGTGTGTGTGCATGTGTGTGTGTGTATGTGTGTGTGTGTTGCATGCGCATGTGAGTGCACATGCTGATAATGTGTGTGGACAACCTGAGCATCATGTATGCCTATTAATACACGATTCAGTTTCATAGATGTATGTATTGTGGTATGCATAGATGTGGTGTGTGTTTGTATGTGGGAGAATGTGGTAATGGAAATATGTGGGTGGTTTGTGTATTTGTGTGTGTGTTATGTGTTAGATATGTAGAATGTGTGTGCTGTATTGTGTGGAATGTGCATGGCATGTGTGTTGTGCTGGTTTGTGTGACCTCTCTGGGATGGTAATGGGTAGCTTAGCAGATACTTGCTCCACACGAGGATCCTAGGTAACATCTTAAAGAAGTGGCCTATAAAACCTCATGTTCATGGCTGCTTGGGAGCACAGCAGTGTTATCTGAGACTAGGGTGTGACTCTAGTGTCTAGAGGGACAGGCCTCAGTGGGGTCTTGATGTCCTGGTCCCCATACCTGACACTGATATTGACTTAGGGACTTCCTGTCCCTTTGAAGTTGCCTCCCAGGATAGGGGCAGTGACAACAGAGTATCACAGAATAGCTTTCAAGTCAGTTCAGGCCAAGGATCAGATACCCACCTGCTGCTTCACTAGAGCCCTGCCCAGCCCAGCGACATAGACAGGACTACTGTGTTCCTCTCAAAGAAGCGTTTCTGGGCAAGTCCATTGATCACTCAGTGTCTTTTTAAACAATGACTGTAACTACAATCCTTCTCCAGGGGTCTTCAGAAGCCAATGACATATGCCGCACCCTTCAAATGACCATGTGATGGTGGTGCATGCACTCCTTAGCTTTTCTTGTCAACTTGTCAACTTGACACGCCTAGAATCACCTGGACCGAGTGAACCTCAGTTGAAAATTGCTCAGATCAGACTGGCTTGTGGGCATGCCTGTGGGGGCATCATCTTGATTTCTAATTGATGTAAGAGGGTCTAGTCTACTATGGGAGGTGCTATCCCTAGATCTGGACCGTATGAGAAAGCTAGCTAAATCCAAACCAGTGAGAGAGCCAGTAAGCGGCATTGCTGGATGGGGTTGGTTTCATTCCTGCTTTGGTTCTGTCCTGACTTCCCTCAGTGATAGACTGACCTGAAAGTATAAGCCCAATAAGACTTCCCACCCCCAAGGGTTTTGTCAGAGTGTTTATTACAGTAGAAAAGGAATGCCTCTTTCCTACCCATGTGTGTGTGTGTGTGTGTGTGTGTGTGTGTGTGTGTGTGTGTGTGTGTTTAAGTGCACATGTATGCATACCCTGGGGATCAATCAGTCCAAAATCCTCGTATATGCTAGGCAAACACTCCACCACTGAACTAAAGTCCCATGCACAAATAATTTAATAATTTCCCGATGATGATTCTCAACCTGTGTGTTGTAACCCCTTTGACAAACCTCTATCTCCCAAACAATATTTACATTGCAATTCATAACAGTAGAAGTACAGTTATGAAGTAGCAATGAAAATAATGTTATGGTCGGGGGTCACCACACCATGAGGAGCTGTGTTAAAGGGTCACAGCATCAGGAAGGTTGAGAACCACTGGGTCTTGAACACTGTGCCTTGGAAGCTGGTGCTTTCGTGTTCTTGACAGAAATGGATCAGCTCAGAGGATGGAACACAGGGAAGTCAGTAGGAGCTTCATCCAGCCCAGAATCCAGGAGCAGAATATTCAAGCCCAGCTCAACAACAAAGCAGACTCAAAAGTCTTCATGTGAGAAATTTATACAGTCTCCAGAAGTTTAGTATGTAAAGCATATGTGTATATCTGTATAACATTTATTGATAATAAATCATAAAGAAAAGCATTTAAACAACTATTTGATTGATATTATATGCTGTAATAATTCTTTGATATTATAATACATAACTTTGCCATTTGTTGGGGATGAAAGCAATCCTACACACTAATCAACGTATGTACTTCTTCATCTTGCCATAAAGAGTTCAGTCCTCGCTGAATATTTGATACCGCGTGGTTCAGATCATCTTTAACACCATTCAGGACTGATTGATGTTTTAGTTTTATAATTGTCAGTGTTAAGAGCGCTGCCTCATATAAACACACCATGCAGACTGTGTTTAGGACCATTTCAGAATTGGCTGGAAATTTATTCCAATCCCAAGACAAAACTCAATGACATTTTAGAATAAAGCTCAAGTCCACAAATCAAATAGCAGTCTTTAAAATCAGATGTTCTAACACATCCAGAACCACCCTAACTTGGTACTTACATGTGGAGAGGTGGTTAGGAAAATATTACACGTGTTTGCTTTCCATTATTAAATCATTATGCTTCTATAAGAGCACCACAGTTAGCAAAAGCCCCGGGACTCAGCAGAGACCGCGGTCTGAGCCTGTGCATTCCAGGTGGTGATGGCTGCACGCCTGCTCAGTGCAGAGCTCTCATCTGGGCAGTGCACTCAAGACCCAGGCGCTGTGAAGCCAAGTCATATCACACCCACGTACACCACCAGAGACCTGTTGCATTCACGGTGTGTTTGGCTTTGAGCTGATGTCTGGTAATCCCAGTTAAGACACCTTTTGCTGCACCCAGAGTTCCTAGATCTCCACCCTGACACCCTGCTCCACTGGGATCACCATTCACAGTTTAAGAAGGTGGGTTGGTGGCTCACACAGCACTCAGAAGTCTGATGCAGAATTGTCAGGAGTTTGAACTACTAGCGAGACTCTCTGAGAAACAAAGCAAGGGTCTGGATTGGCTGTTCAGTGGTTAACAGTGCCAGCTTCTCTTCCAGGGGACCAAATGATTCTATTCCCAGCACCCAGATGGCAGCTCACAGTCAGCTGAAACTCTAGTTCCAGGAGACACAACACCCTCTCCTGACCTATTTGGACACCAGGCACTCACCCAGGCAAAACACCCATACACATAAAATAATAAATAAAAGGCCAAACGCATGCCTAGCCTCTATCCTTTCTGCTGCTTTCAGGCACCCTGGAGTAAGAAAGGCAGGAGGAAGGATGTTGAGGAAGAGGCTCAGTGGGTGACCTGAGTTAGAATCCCAGCATACATGAAAAAAGACAGGCATTCCCTGCGTCTGCACCTCCACTACCGCAGGGGTGTGTGTGGAGACAGATGGGTCCTGAGAGCTCCCTGGCTGGCCAGCCTAGCTGAAATTGTGAACTTCCAGAGCAGTGGGAGACCCTGGTTCAAGGCAACACAGTGGAGAGCAGGGGAAAGGCACCGGATGTCCTGCCCTGGCTTTCACACTCACCTACTCGGGCATACAAAGTGGATTAAGAAACTGGGCCAGGAGTCTGTGTGCCCTGGCGTTTGGGTCTGTGTTTCTCCCACCCCTGGCAGCACCGAGATGGAGCAGCCTCAGTGTGAGTCTCTTCCCGACGGGGCGTCAGCTTTGCTTTTCCTCTCTAGTTTCTGAAAAGGTGGGTCTTTCTGGGTCTCAAACAACTGCCTTTGCTTGTGGCCCTAATCAAGTACAGCTGATGTCGTCAGCCCTGCTTCATTCAAAATCTTAACCCCAAAGAATGTTAGCATGTGGGTCCTGGGTGAGCAGTGGGAAAGATATGAGGGAGAGCAGGCTGATGAGAAAGGGGAGCTACTAGTTACCCCTATGTTTATTTTTTGATAGACTCATCTGTAAAACAGCCAAGGTGTCCTGTGTAAGATCAGAGTCTGAATTCTCTAGGTTTTAATGCGGCTTACGGTATAAGGTCTGAGTGAAGCTGCCCTGGAGCTTCCTGAAGCTGCCCTGGAGAAGTTTGCCCATGAGAAGAGCTGGGAAGTAGGGGTTCCAAGTGATATGGGGGGGAGGTTCACAAGATGCGTAACAACTTGACCTTCTTGTCTGTTCTTGAAGAAGGGTGACCAAACACGGAGACTATGGGAGGAAGTAGGGCTGCTAGGACATCCCCTTGAGAAGGCTAGGGCAGGGGGCAAGGGTGACCTGGGCAGGCTGCGAAGGCAGGGTGTGACTCTGCCTCGGCAGAAGCGGGAGAAGTGGCTTCCAAGGGTAAACACTGGTTTCCAGCTACATGAGTCTGTTTACGCAGTGGTCATTTCTGGGGCCAAAATTAACAGCAAACGCCACAGTCAAATGGCTGATTTGTGGGCCAGTTTAGTCAGGAGAAACCACTCATTTCATGTGTATATTTAGCGCAGAGACTCAGACTCTCCCCCACGGCTGCTCGTCCCACACAGGAGCTTGGCCGGACTCCTGCATACAAAGTATGGGCTAGTTGGTGTTAGCGCTTAAGAGAAGTCTAGACTGCTGGCTTCTCCTTATATCCCCCAGGAGGTGAGGAAACTGGCTAACACTCCTTCCCTTTGCAGGTGACTGTGGGGCTCCACCCTTGCCTGGATCCCGGAGGGAGGGGGCCCACCAAGGGGAGCACCAGCTCACCAGCATAGCTCTCTGTTGCAGAAAGTCAGAAGGCTCCCTAGCCAGAGAGCTCTTATGTGCACAAGGGATTAAAACCCACAATCATCCTTTCCTGCTCCACCCTCTGCTTCAGGGGAGGCCCTGGCCTATGGCCAAGGCCTTTCTGGCTCTTGTGTCTCAATTTAGGCACAGTCTCTCCACCTCTGTGACAAAGCAAACCCTAACATTGTCAAGCGTCTGTTGAATGGAGGTGATGCCGCCCCTAATTTGGGGACTTTAAGCTGGTGTCAGACTCAAGTGATACGGTGCCTATGATGGCAGGGAGACCTTATTTCTGGAGGCTGATTTTCAAAATCCCTCAGAGGCCCAGGGCTGGCCTATGCGAAAGGCCAGGCGTCCCAGTGTCAGGGCTCCCTCTGTCCTTGCCAGGGACATTGCCCTGGGGACACTTCAGGGTGAGTCCCAAGTGGGAGTCCCAGGAAAAGAGGGTGGTCTACAAGGCAGGGGAGGGCCAGTGTCTTCCTCAGGAGTGTGGACTGGTCAGTTGTCTGTCTCTGGTAAATCCCCTCCCACTGTCACCTAGACAAGTGACCCCAAGTAAAGTCACAGAGAGAGAGAGAGAGAGAGAGAGAAAGGGGGACCAGATGGGGAAAGGGGGTGTTAACAGGAGAGAGAGGGGATGAAGGAGGTAATGGTGTGAATAGGATCAAAGTGCATTGTACACATGTGTAAAACTGTCCAAAGTGAATAATTAAGGTATAAGCTACAAGACCTAAAATTTTCCTTAAAGTTTCTAGCTTGGCGCTTTCAGTCCCATTTCAGGGATTGTATGGCCATCAGCACCATCTACACCAGATCATCTCATGGCTCCCATGAAATAGTCACGTGGGCTAACTAAAGGGCTTAGCAGGCAAGTCACTTGTCGCCAAGCCTGAAGTTCTGAGTTCAGCTCCTAGAATCTACATTGTAGCAGGAGAGCACTGACTCTTACAAACAGTACAGTACACCCGCACCATGGTAAACACATGCGCGTGCGCGCGCACACACACACACACACATACGCATACACACATATACACACATACACACGTATGCACACACATACACAC